CAACCGAGTGATTCTGTGATTCTGTGATCTCATTCTGTTTCAGGCTTCATGGAGCCAGGAGATACACCAAATACCATTTTCAATGACTCCATGCTGTGAGAACTTAACTTTGATACATGCTCCACCAGAAGAAGTAATTTGCTGCCTCATTTTTAGCAAAAGAATACTCTGAACAACCCAGAAACCTCTACTCATAAATTCTACCTGTTTCAAACAGCAGCAATGCAAAATAATTCACAATTGTACAACAGAATAATGAGAACAATACATAATTGAATGCAAACAGTGCTCTTAATATCGTTTCCATTGATACAGCCCAATTGCCCTCAATCCTGCTGAGATGCTGAAAACTGCAGACCCCAAACTCTGCCCCGAGAATCCTCAGGTTGGTACCACCATTCACTCAGTGCTGTGGTGTTGGCATTAATCTGTGCCATGCAGGCATCCTACATCAGCTGAAAATAACTTGGGAATCGCTACAGAGTACTGTGGTTGTATCTGTCAGGACATTATCCCGAGGAAAAGGAGAAAGAATAAGAAATTGTATGTGTATTAGACACGGAATCTTGTCTATATTAGCACAGTGATGGTGAATAAAGAGACATTTATCACCAAAGACAGTAATGCTCTGGAAATATTTTCCAATTAAATGGGCCAAATTGCTATGGACATCACTATATCCTTGCATTTGCAATCCATTTTGATTTAAAAATCACCCAATAATAGTCTGTGAAAACAGAGGAAATAAAACTTAAGCAGGACTGACACCTCTGCTCTTTTGCAGTATTTCAGTGACAGAAAATAACTTGCCTTTGAGATCTGCTGTTGTTTATTAAATGTACCAGCTCTTTGTCAAGACTTGTTGCACTTGCAAATCACCCTATCTTTATCCACCTCAAGGTTACACAGTAAGAGCTTCGCTATCAGTTAAGAATTGGTGAATACAATTGTTGCTTGCTTTGTTTGGAAGTCACTTTAAGTAACCACTTTGATTAAACTACAAAGTACTAAATGCAAAGCTTTGCCAAGAGCAGAGTCCAAGAGGAACCAATATATTATGTGGAACAGCAATACCTTTGTAATTGAATCTCTGGCACACAAGGAGATGGGAGAGAAAAGGAAGGGTATTGGTATTTTGTACTCACAAGAAATCCCTCTCTGTTCTTAAATAATTATATTATACATAGAAAATTAGCTACATCCTATGAATCATTATCATACTAACTAATCAGAAACTTTATACAGTAATTTCCTCCACCCTTAGGCCAATTAAAAAATCCAACTGGAGCTAATCAGCTCTGAATACAAAACAAAAAGAGATAGCAATGCTTCTAAATGAGAGCAGGATGGGCAAAGCATTCTAACTTTCTACCACATTGGAGCTCAGGTTTTTTGTTTGTTTTATTTTGGTTTGGTTGTTGGGTTTTTTTAACTAATTAGCATTATGAACCCATACTCACCGAAACTATAGATTCCCCAAGAACTTTGTCCCTAATCAAGTGATAAAGACTTAGAAGCTAAAACTTAAATGAATCAACAGTTACCTTCTGTCATATATACCACTTAAGAATGTCTCGGATAAAAGGAACTAACTAACTAACTCAGATATATATTCTGCTGTACAATATTTCATTGTTCAGTCTTGGTGTAAAAAGTACCAAACCAGAGATATAAATACAATTCCTTCCTTCCCAAGGAGCTCTATGCTGATCAGATGTATGCTGACTCAAAGCAAAAAAGCCTGCTTGCTCCTAGAAATGTCCAAAGGAAGCAACTTTCTGTTTTCCTAGCAGCATAAAAAGACATCCCAAAGCAAACAAGGAACAAAACACAAGCTAACAGATATAGCCATTAAATAAGTGATCTACTGAAGGTAAGAAAGAGAAACATATACTGAGCCCATTACAGAAAAAAGAAATGTCTCAATAAAAGAATGAAACCAAACCAAACCAATAAAACACACGAAAAGCCAAGCAGAGCTTGTCCATGCAGGGAACTGCCCTCATCAACTCCTTCTTGTACTGAACCTTGCTTCTCACTTTACAGTGCCTTGTTCCTGCTCAGCTCTAACTGTGGCTTCTAAAAAAAAAAACTCTCCTGAGATGGACAAGACCTTTGTTTTCAAGAAAAACATATTTTCTCAGCTCATTTTCACTTTAAAAGTTCAATTCAACTTCCTTCACGGACATCAGATCTCTACTGTCAGTTTTATTGCATGCAAAAAAAAAAGAAGTGCATTCCTTAAGTAAAATCAGGTACTACTGCACTTTCTTGAGTAAGGCTAGCTCTGCAGATAGCAATGATAAGAATTTATCACTTTTTAAGAACTCAATCTGAAAAACAAAAAGCCCCAAACTTATTTGGAGAGATTTTACATTTTTAAAAAAATCTAAAATGAAAATTAACTTCTAAGAACTTTTTTTTTTAAAAGTATCCATTCAAAAAGATATAAGCCAACATATCTAACTCTTAAATGACCTAGCCCTCACACTAGAGCACTATTCAGAATGTACCAAGTCTGAACATAGGGGAGGCTCCCTGGGATGCCTCATCTGAGAGCGACATTGACACTTACAGCCTTTCAGTTCACTCCACACTTACTGGTTGCAGAAACCAGTGTGATGGAAACTAGGGGAAAGGGTGAGGGTTACTCCCTTCTGTAAGTTCTCCAATTTTTACAATGTGAACAGGTCACAGGGGGTTAGAATGGCAAAACATCATGGCTTCTGGAGAGAAGTGCTCAGTATCACAGGATTAGTGGGCTGCGACAAGGCCTAAGTTAGAAGCAAATTGACACCAGTTTCCAGCATTGTAAAGTACAATGATGGAGGGATGTTATCAAACAAGGAAAATGCACTTTCCTGTTCAAGAGAAAAAGCAAAATCTTCCTTAATTTCCTAAATCTATGGAAGGATACTGAATTTACTGTGCACTAAAAGTGGCAGAGTTAAGTCATTACCTGGCTGGATATAAAGCCTTCTTGTCCTTGAAAAGTTCACTTGCTTCCAGTTTTTCTTCATATATAAGCTTCTGCTGATCTGTGAACTGGTCTCTGTACTTTTTACACTAGAAAACATGATATATTAAACATACCAAAAAATTATCCTTCCAAATCTGATTTGAAGCAGCAGCACCACAGACTAATGTTTGCTTATTGCTCAAGATGCACATTCTTTGTATACTTCTGAAGTGACTCAGCTCCATCCTACATGCCACTGTAGCACAGTAACAAACAGCAGAGGTGGTTTTCTCCTCAGCCATTCTAGATAGTTCTAAATTACATCAAAAACTATCGCTAAACATATAATTTAAGCATGCTGCATTTGAACAGGAGCTTAATCTATCAAATACCAGTCACTGGAAGACTATGCTAAAAAGGTTCACAGAAACATACATAGTTGCATGATTGCAGAATTTTATGTAAACAGATGGAAAGAACAAAACATAGCTGAGAGGATGAATTTTGCAGAAAGAAAAACTGTTCCTTGACAATTCACAGAAACCATAGCCCACAAGATCAGTAAAATGTCTCATCAGCATTTATTCAGATTCTCGCCGTTCTCTCGATCCAAAGATCCAAACCAAATTTCAGCTAACCACAGTTCATAAGTAAAAAATTCCACACGGTACTTCCAATGTTGGTCTAAGAGCTAGTTCCAGTCCTGGCCAAGGACACACAAGTATTATAAGCTACCAATTAGCAGGCAACAGGCATACTGCTTTACTGTACAGTTAAAAGCTGGTGGCAGGAAGCAATCCTCTCCCCTTAGCACCAGAAAGGAGTAGGCAGGATAGTTATACCCCTTGCAGGCCAAAGACAATGATTAAAAGACATACTTCTTTCAAAGAAATAAAATATCCTGTCTGGAACTGGAAGAACTACATCCTAAAAATAGGTTCTTCATGAACAGCACAAAACTACTGAAAACCATGTGATGAAGTTCTGCACAGACTGGACCATAATGTTTCCTACCCTCCACAAATGGAAAATCCTATTTAGCTCCTTGTGAGTTGAATCCAAGAAAAGGTAAGGTCTCGCTGGCCAGTTTTTATCTATTGGTGATAAAGAAGGCATCTTATTCTTCATTTCCAGGAAGTATTTTTGCATCTGTGATAAAATTGAAGCAAGATGTTTTATTAATGTTCAAATACTAGAATTACTGAAATAAGCAAGGAAAAGCAGATGCTCTGGGATTAAAAGCAGAGTTACCAAACTGCAACTCTCAGTTTTCATAAACCTGAATATTGATCTTAAAAGACAGATATATTGAGAAAAGCAGATTTAGATATCATACAAGTGTGGCAAATGTTTAGTTAGTACCATTCTAACATCTTCAAAACACTACCACTATTCTTCCTTTACAACATCAGAATATTTAAGTTGTCAATTTTCCATATGCTTAGCTTGGACATTTCCTTACAAAGACTATCAAAGCCATAATAAAGCTGTTACTTTTGCGAGAAAGCAAAAATTTAAAACACAGAAAATGTGCATCTGCTTTGTACGGATATATACATACAAGTCTCTGAAGGGTAAATTCATAAATTTTTCTTCCAGCATTGGCTCTGAAGAATTTCCTGTATTCTCTACGGACCTGAAAAGTTAAACAAACCCTCAAAGTGAATACAAATGAATTTGTTTGCATAGGTACTGGTTTATAGAGCTCTATGGCAGAAAATACTTAAAAAGCACACAAACATGCAAAGTGTTCCCTGAAACAGGAACACTGACTAGGCACACTTAAAATATATGAACCAGAGCATGGATCAAGAGGTCAGAAAGTTACCTCAGATTACCTGAGTACAGTCATTTGCAAATTTAACAGAGAATTTGAAATACTTTCCTCTGGAAAGGCAAGCTATTCAAATATTGCTGAATTCACAGCGTGAATTTATTTTCATAGGCTTCTGCATAAAGTTGGACTGGAAAAAGTGAGGCATCATCAGTGATACATATTTTATTGTGTCTGAAGCGACTCTGAACTGATGTTAATTACATAGTTAACTGACGAACTGTTTCTGATTTTTCTCCTTTAAGATTCTTAATACTCAGAGTTTTCTATAATAAAAATGGGATTTTTTTTCCAGACCAGACTTATGCATGAAAAAAACCTTTTCACTCAAGCAGTCTTCATTCTATACTGAAAATAAGGTTTTGGTGCTTGATAAGAGCAGAGAATGAACACAGATGTTGCTTAATGTCAGAGAGCTTGATATTTGCTCCTAAAATTTATTAAAAAAATTAAAAAATTTTAAAAAGTGAGCACTGAGAACCATACTTGCAGGTGATCCTTATTTTTTAGACATGCTTGTAAATGCAAGTTTCAGAGTATTTGTTTTGCCCTCGGTATTTCTACCAGTGCTAATTATCATAGTACCGAAATCCTGCCCCATGCCTCAGAAAACCCAATGTGAGAGAGCACGACCTTTTTGCAGTTTTGTGTGAAGCCAGGCTCACATCAATTTAGCTGAAGCATCCCCTAATTTTTTCCAGACTTCGGCACAGCTTGCAACACACCTGTTATAAGTTTTGAGCAAAAACCAGGGAAAACATCGTGGCTTTGCATAATTTACCCCAGAGCAAATGTCGTGGTTTTAGCCAAGTCGCTCTGCATTGCTGAATTCGCTGTAACCAGAAAATAAAGAGACCCACAGAGGAAAAGCCTACGTCAACTTCTAAAAAAAGGTTCACTTGGTTTATCCTAGCACACCTTCTGCCCCATACTAAGTGACATTCATTTTAAGATAAGCCAGCATTTTGAAAGCAAGAATTTGTCAACATTTGGGATTTAAAAATTTGGCTTTGTTTAACTACACATTAAGATGCATCAACAAAACAGGCAGCATTCAGCTGTCTTCATTCTATGCAAATACAGCCCATAATTTTTACCTCACTTTATAAGAAAAACCATTAGAGTTCTTATTCACTGATTTTCTGTAATGTTTAGTGCTCTGTAATTAGTGTACATCCTTTATTTATTATTCAGGGATGGAAATTAACACACTCAAAGCCACTCCAACCACAATCATCCCAAATCTCACCATGTTCTCATAGACTCTCTTTAATGATGTTGCTTTATATTATTCTTAGTGAGCTGCAAGGTGTGCAAATTAATTTGGAACAAAGGGATTAATATACACCCACACATCCTATTGGCACTGCAGGGAAGCTGCAAAGCAAGCACTGAGAAATGCAAGTGTTCCAGAGAAGCCTAAATCTGGAAAGTACCACAAATGCTATTAAAATCTACTTATTATACAATCCAAAAAAAAGACTCAAGAATTAACGGTTTAATTTTGATACCAAACCATTAAACTTGTATCAACTTTAAATCTTCACCTCCATGTGTCATGGGTGAAAATACTTTGTCATCAGGCAAATGAGAATTGCCTGTGGTAACTGGTATATTGGAACTACAGACTATGCTCTTACTCAGAGATATCTGCGTGTTTCAGGTGAGCCAGAAGTGCCACTTACACTATTTTAAAACTACACTGAAAAACCACACCACAGACAGGCAGAAACATGTTCCTGCTGTAACGTGCCTTAAAGGTTTTGGATTCATCTGTTTTCATTTAAATGCCGCTGTTTGATATAAAACAGCCTCTGAGTTCTCAGGAGGGACATATTCTTATTTTAAAATCATAAAAACAGACCCACTTTGGCAGTAGTACCTAAAGTGTGATTCTGATCTGCAGAATGACTTCTTAAAATGGCTCCTTTGTATTTCCAGCTCTGGTTTCCATGTATGTATTGTAATGAAATTTTTACATACATAATATACATACATTATATATAATTACATGTTTTGTAACTGTTTTTCCCATTTCATCATTGTTAGAACAAGTATGAGAATATGAGAGCTGGGCTTTACTCTACATTATCAAGTAAATTGTTCCCTTTTATACTTCTGAAGTCTACAATACCCCTATTAGCAAAAGTGACACCCAGCCAAACAAAACTGATTTAGATTTCCACAGTTCTTCAGGACTGCATCTGTAAAACTATGCTTGAAAACTGTAGTACGTAAACCATTTGGGCCCAGACCTGAAACACCTCAAGATGCCATTCCCATAGTCTATTTACAGAGCAGAACTACATTTTTCCAGATTACAAATGTGTGCTCTTTTGCCAACCAGTCCTTGAAAGCAAGGGACAGAAAACAAAAGACTCTTGTACGTCTCAATTTTTCTGGTAACTCACGGCTGCTGCCAGCCACAGGTAAGTGCATGCAATGCCATGCCCTAAAAATGCTTGATGGAAGCAATAGGACATTATCATTAGCTTTACACCATGCCCTCGACACTGGGGTCAGGGGTCTCATGTGAGCAGCAGTGAGAGTCAAACAGCTCCACCCTGCTTCCCATTCAAACGAGCAGAGGTCACAGTAACAAAATACATGCTTGTAAGCTTTCCAGATAGGATCTGTGCCAACGCAGGTCAGGTTTTTAAGTCAACAACCATAATAGAGTCCTTTTAATCTGATATTGGTCTTTCATTTAAAAACTGAAATTACTGATATGACCCAAACTGTTGATGCCTAAATATCGCTGTAAATGAAGCTTTTTCAGCTTCTGAATTTTTCAGTGAAGTCCATGACAAAATTAAGCAACATAATTCTGTGTAAAAATCATTCTTACTAGTAACCCACATAACTGGTTGCTTATTAAGTGTTAGTAAGATGCCACGCTTTATTGAGTTCATGTTGACAGACAGGAGTGTTTGAGAAAGTACCTTCAGTCCAAGCCAGTAAGCCCAAATGACTGCAACAGCATGCTTACGCCTAGCCTCCTCCTTCAAGCGTTTCAATTCCCTTCGAGCCTAAAAGGTTTAGATAGTGAACAAAAGAGACAGCCCGATGCAGATAGCACAATGACTAGGAAAAGGCCTCTCCCAAACAGAACAGCCAACTTACAATCGAGATATAGAAAGCTGGAAGAACAGCATTTAACCTTTAAAATCCCATTTGTGAACTGGTGTGAAGCCACACAGGAGGTCAATTAAGTGACACGTACAGATAAGAATTTTGTCAGCCCTATTATTCACTGTCAGTGTTTCCATCTTCTCTTCTGTGCACACCTTGCAACTAGTGGTAAGTATCTTGTAACTTGATTCTAATGGAGAACTTTGCCTGCAGTATCTTGAGATTTTTTTTATGATCAAAATTATGCATATGGAAATCAAGACTTGCTCAGATCTCACTGTCTAGTCACTTCTTCCACTGGCAAGTGCCTGGGCAGAACAGAATAGACTCTGAAACTATGTGTATAATGATGAATTACTGGCACTGTACTGAGGGCTTTTATTCTGGAGCTTACATTTAATTTTGATCTTTATGTACTTTAAGTTCTCCAGCCTGGTAAATTATGTCTGACTTTACAGAATGAAGGGATAAACCCCCCAGACCTAGTACCTCCCTCATGTACAAAGACATGGGCACCTACCTACATTTCATCAATCATTCCCATGTTAGAAAAGCAATCTGCAAAGTATTCTAAACAAAAAGGCACGCATGGGCAATTTAACAGAATCTCACATTTTAGGAGATACCAGTAGATTTGTTATTCAGTTATCTGATGATAAAAATCAAGTAAATTGAAGAGTTCCAGTCTTCTAGGATCAGCAGCTCTAGCGATGTATCTGCAGCTGTCAAGTTCCATGTTGTCAAACAGATTTGTGCAACAGCAGTTCCTGCCTGTGCCAGTTACACTTCTCTGATGTAGCTAGAAAGGTTAATTTGCATTACATGGAGGCTCTCATAAGAGTATGTTTTCACTCATCTGTTTGGGACAAAAGCTCCTACTATACAGCACTGTAAAAACAAGGACTCTGCCAAAGCTATGTATTTGTTTTGTGAAAAGGAAGGAAACTGAGTACTTGAGGTCTATAAGCTTGGGGTTTTTTTAGTAAAGCAAGTGATCTCTGAGGATAGCTTTCAGAAGCTTTTGTTTTAAATATTCCACTGGGAAAAGAGAAAGCATCACACCAGTAACAAGTTTTATACTTATCAGATGTCGTAATTATTTTTCTAATCTCAACTCAATTTAGATTCTTATCTTTGGTATTTATATATATACTATATTTAGATCTTTTATATTTAAGGAATAAGGTGGCAACTTTTCATTAAATTCCTGTGAGCCAATTGATATTGCTTTCTGGATGTGTCCTTTTTTACTTTAAATAATAGCTTAAACCTAGGAAAGTAAATATTACTTCGGCAGTACTGAGCAACTTTTTGGGTGAAAGGAAGTCTGGTTAAAAATAAAATAAACTATCAAAGTATTGCATTTAAAAAAATGTAGAGGACACTGTGTCTGTCAAAGTACATAGCTACCTAAATACCTAAAACTGAAAAGATGCAAAGTCTCTCTAGTATGAGGGAAACTTTGTACATGTTTGTTTGGACTCCCAGGGCTGCCATTTCGTTATCATTTTATATCAAAATAGCAAAGGCCAAACTCAGCATTATACTTCAGAGGTAATTTGAGCACATTTCCCCCTCTAGCTGGCAAGGTGTTCTGACAACAGCCCCCCACAACTCCTCCAACCTAAGTAATAACTGGAAAATGTTTTAAACTTAACATATTTACTGAATAGGGTTTTCAACTAAATTACATATTTATTAATTGAAACCAATACATTTTTGGCCTCTAGTGAACAGCATTTCAAATGGTTACATAGCACACAACTGCAGGCTGGGGATTAGCAAGAATCTTTCAGTGGGACTTTGCTTCTGAAAACAAACAGCTGATGCTAGAATTCCTGGGATTTTTCTAGGGCTGTAAGTTTAGAATTGCAAACTGACTTCATTTTCTGCTAAAAGATCAGGTCATAAAACCGTGCTTTACTTGTACTTACTGAAGTTTTCTTACTGGTTCAAATCACAGCCACAGAACCAATTAAACCAATTAAAACTAAAATTTAGCAAAACATAATAGTGTCAATTTGAACTTTTAAACAAAGGCTGCCCAGGGTACAGAATACACAGCCTGGTGAAAATCTCAATTGGATCTTTAATATAGTGACACTGAAAGCACTTGTTAGGGGGGAACAAAACCACACCAAAGAAACTCCCAACCTTCTCTCCCCCCACAGACCATGCTTTGCACATTTACATGTAGTTAAATGCATTTCCTAATTTGAGAATACTGTAGTCTAGTAATTTTTAATCTAGTCTAATGGCTTGTTAGTGCAAATCATTACTTTGCTGCCATGCAAAGATTTTCCTACTCTACAAAAAACTGACATACAGAATATTGTCAGATTTATTAAGTGTGGCATGGATGGAAATAGAAGGAATCAATGATCATGCTCTACTACTTTAGAGTCTATTGTATTAGTCATTAATTCTCACTATTTACTATTTATTAAATGTTGATATTGTTGGGTAATGAAGGGAGGCATGTGATATGTGCATGAAGTACCTTATATCCAAGCCAGTAAGCCCAAATAACAGCAATAGCATGTTTATTTCTAGCCTCCTCCTTCAGTCGTCTCAGTTCCCTTCGTGCCTGTGATGCATTTGAAAATGGGATATAGAAAAGCTTAGGAAAGAAAAAGGTTACTGCAAGTTCCCAATAGTGCAAGAAAGAAAGAAAGAAAGAAAGAAACCAGTCACTACAAACAGCAAATATTAAAGCGTGTCCCAGCTTCCCAGACTGCATCAGCTAAAACATGTTAGCAGCAAAGAGAAACAAAAAAAAGTCAGCCATTTAAGCCACTGAAAATATTCCCAGACAATTTTATCCTGAAGGGGCTTCTTCATTCTATGCAGAGAAAATGAACTGCACAATTTGCTGCTGTTTTCTTACCTGGGTACCATGCCAATAAGCAGCAATTACTGTGGCAGCCTCATTACAACGCTTCTGATGCTTAAGCTCCCGAAGAAGTTTCCGAGCCTGTAAACAATTGAAAACATTATTTTATTCAAAAAAATAACCGTAATTTCTTAATGATTTTAAACTAAGGCACTGCAACCTCTAAATCCAGGCAAAACAAAAAAAACCACAATGCCTCCAAATCCTCAAGCAAATAAATCCATAAATGCTACACAGCCTAACATTCAATGTTCAAGGGAGGATCCTGCGCAGAAGTGAGAGCTTGAGACTGGCAGTGCAGGGGATCTTAGCTCAATGTTCAGTTTTCTCTCAGGTTTGCTGCATCACTTGAGATATCTATGTCTGTCTGTACAATGGCAGCAACACTTTTCCTCCAGAGTATATGTCTTACCTGTTTAGACAGCAATAAAGAATAAATCACGAGTAAATTGCCTGGCTGTAGGTCACACTTAAGGCTGCTGTCATACCAGGCTTTTATCCACGGCAGTGCTACCACAAAAGAGTGTGTTCTCCAATGACAAACAGAAAACTGGAACTCAAGATGAGATGATGCTTTTAGCCACTTTTCTTCAAATAAGGCTCACGGAAAAAGACAGCATGTCCATAGTTAGACTGAGAGGATATTTTTAATTCATTTGAAAAAAATAATAAAAGGTAAAAATCAAGAAAAATAGTAAAATTGAATTATGCTGGCAAACTTTAAAAACTTCTGGGCCAGAGAGGGCTGTTGACACCTATAGCTAGTAACTGCAGTCCCTTCTTTCCCCATCTGACAGGAAGATAATTACTCCAGAATGAAGGAGAAATTAAAGGCAGAAATTACTTCAGAATTAAAGGCAGTTCTCTCTTCCCTACATAGAGGAGAAAGCCACATTCAGTGGTGTGGAGAAAGGTCAGTAAGAAAACAAATGTTCCCAGAGACATTTTTTCTGGAACTGGACAGCACTAGCTGCTTTAAGCACTGTGGCTGCTTTCATGTAAGCTATTAACCTCATTTTCACCTCTTATTACAGCATCATTCCTTAAGTCTCTACTATAGCTGCAGGATTATCCCTTCACGAAGTACAAACCTCTCAGAGAAGAAGCAAAGTTGAGGTAGACAACAAGCAAACAGCAATAAAGTTGTGCTCAGCACAAGTTGAGTGCAGTACACTTTCACCCCTTCGCTTGGCACACAGAGGAGAAATGAAGACTTAACCCAAGTAACGTACTGGCCAGGTGACCCAAACTCTTTATTTTAAGCCTGTTTTCATAACCGTAAAATAACTGCCAACCACGACATATTTCTTCCAAATCAGTGCAATGCTACAGTTTTTACAATCCCAGTGGCAGAGTTCTGGACCATCCAGCTCTGGGGCTGCCAGGCTGCCTGGTTAGCACATACCTAGGTCTGCTCTGGACACCAGACTCACTCATTCACACTCCAGCCCATGTAAAGAGGGTACCTCTCTCCAAACTCTCTGTCAGGGGATGCTCCAAGGATAACCCAGTAATTTAGTGTGGTCCCAGCCTTCTACTCACAGTTTGCAGGGATTTAGAGCCCAGGCTACAGGCAGATATCCCAAACTCACTTCTTCTATGGCAAACACGAGTGTTTAACAACAGCTAAGGCACAGCCACAGCTCAATGGACAGATGGCGTGAAAGTCAGGAGGCTCAGTGCACTTGGAACATGTTTTCTGACCTGCTCCTTACCTCGCCATGCAGACATAGCAGCAGTAGTGGGAAACTCACCTTCCATCCTCTGATGTAAGACTGTACTATAATAGCCGAACTCTTTATCTTCTGATACTTTTTCTGTTGCTGTATTGGAAATAAATATGCGATGCTTAGAACAGAATATTGCAACTGTAAAATACTGTACAATAAAACCTTCACTGTTAACATTTGAAAATATGATTAAGGACACAAGCACTAAATGTAAAAAGAGAAGAAATTTTGACCAAGCAGATCAGAGAGTAGGTTCTGTGTTCAACTCCAGGGGAAACAAAGCCCATCAACAATGCTGGATGGACAATATCACTCTCTGTTTACAGAAACACTAAGTTCATGGTCAAAAGCACAAAAGTGCTGGATTAAATACTAACAATAACTGCTTTATTTGTCTTTCCCACCAACAGTATAGCATACAAACTAGTCACAAACGCTTAGGTTTGTTGGCTAAGCTTTTTACCATCTTTTCATGACACTTGTGCTGTTCCTATTACCCACAGTCCCTTTATAATACCAAATGCTGATTTGAAACTTAGGAACAGGAAAATAGAAAACTGAGGGATTCCTGAATGACATGCTGGAATATTACCCAAGTAAGCCAGTTTGAACAATAAATTTCCTGGATAGCCAAGCATTTGCCTTCTAAAAAGATCAGTTCTCTAGTAGACCAGTGGTTAGTGCAATACTAAACTCTGCAATAAGGCTTTTCGACTTTGCACTCAGCCCACTCAACTACAGTGAACATTTCTGTGAGTAACCTAGAAAAACTCCCCTCTAGGCCACATTCATGCCATGACTGACATCTGTCGTGCTTTGTAAGGGAACAGACAGGCCAGTGTCTGCAGATCCTGTACCCAAGCCTCCAGCACAAGGAGTTGTCAAAAAGCTTTGATCATGCAAGGAATTCCTTACAAAACCTTCCAAAGCACAGTGCCTAATAGTCATGTTGAGTTAGGAGAATGGTGTCCTCCATCTACATGAAGAGGCTGAGGAAACACTGCTATTGTCACCTATAAGTAATTCTGAGGGTCTCTGTATGACTTCATCCTGCATTCAAAGACAATTGCTGCCATGTTTCACCCATGAGCCAGTAAAGAAATCAAAAGTTTAGAAATCAACAAAGATCTGAACTTGGTCATGTATTTGTTTTCATTTCTTTATAATAAAAGTCATACCAATCTAGTTGTGGCAACTCAATTTTTAATTCATTAGGATTAGATGAGATCATAATGAAGCCATATGGGCACAAAGCAATTCTGTAATGATGCTGTTTGCAGAAAAGGTGCATTCAGTCACAGAAGTTCAGAGAGAAAGTTTTTTACAGTGAAAAAGCATTTATTCATACTTTTTCCACTTGATCTATACTTCTAATTATCCAGCATAACTGAACCTAACACTAAAGGCTTTCAAGATGATAAACAGAAGTGCTCATAAACTTAAAAACGGTGATAGTCAATTCTGCAACTTGCAATTTAAGCAGATGCTTTCTTCCCATATCATGTATTTTATCAAACTTTTCGTTACGCACACAATAACAAAATGCAGCTGAGATGTTTAAGACTTGTTTTAAAACTTAAAAACAATCATTTTTTTTATCATGTATGTCAATGTTATTTGCCAACTGACAAAAAGACGTAAGAGAGTAATTGAACAGTACTGTTCAGTTCAGGACACAGAATATCCAGTCTAAAAACCCATTTGAAACTATTCTAGAACTGTATCAATAATAACTACTGAACTACTGAGTCTTATGAGCTATAATTAAAATAAAGCCCTGGGATCCTCCCAAGCAGCATTCTTGAGCCTCAAATGCAAATGTTCCAAATAAGGCAAAACTACAAAAAGCCTTAGGAATGACTGAATTCCACAGAACTGCACATGTATATTACCGAACATTTTTCACACATGAACCATATGTTTTGAGAGCACGCTAAGTGCCAGGCAACACAGCATTTTAGCTGAATGAAAAAGACTCTTTCCAGCTGGGCCACAAAATCCTGCTCTCCCAGAGCTAAAGGACACTGGTGAGCTGTTTAATTATTTAAGCACAAGCACAAAGTAAGTACTTAATAGCGGTCTCTAGAAACAATTTTTTCTTTTATTCACATATTTGGTACTTAAATACTAATATAAAATTGAATTCTTTCAACACTTCTCCACACATATCAAGGAAAAGTATAATACAAGGGTTATATAAAATACCATATCAAGTTTATAAAAAACCCCCCACATTAAGCAATAAAAAGAACTCCCCATTTAGTAAAGATATTATCTTACTGCGTATCTCCTGTACCAGGAAGCAATCACAATCTGGCTTTTTTTCATTAACAAGAAGCGTGTACGGCATTTCCAACCTCTATAAATCTTCCCAATTAGAGTAGCCAAGTCCTCCAACCGCTGCTTTCTGAGATCTTCCAGTTTGAAGAGCTGTGTGTGGGGGTTTTTAGGGTTTTGTTTGACATTGGAAGAAAAACAGTAGGGGAAAAAAGACAAAAAAAGACCATAAGCATTGCTTTTGTAAAAATAATCTCTCTTGATTCAAATCCCCCTTCATACACCTTTTAGTTTATTCATCTTCAGAGCTATAGGCAGATACACCAACAGGGTTTGTGGCAGATAAACTGCCACAAGTCAGTGCATGACAGTTACATTAAATTCAGGCTGACAGCTACTGCAGAGTCTTCATTCACACCAATTTTAATGGGTCTAACATTGAAAAGAGCCTTTTTTAACTCTATATTCTACAGGAATGTATCAAAGCACTGTATCTAGAAAAATCTGTAGTAACCAGCCAGTGAATTATGCAGTTGATAACAGACTATCCTCATGAAAGCTGGCTTGATTTTGCAGGGGAAGACATTATTCACTTACCGTTCTTGGGTTGCGGATGAATATCTTTGATCTACCAAATGAAAATTCTTCTTCAGGGATTTCCAATTCATTAAACAGTACCTCTACTCCAGCCCTAATAAGAAGTAAATGAGCTTAACAAACATGACCGCCAGCTCTAAAACTTGTAGTTTACATATTCACAGATTAATACATGGAAAGCATATTTTAAATTCCTAAATAGTGCTTCACATAAGAAGATTGAAAATCTAACTCATGTACTCACTGGTTATTTAGCTAAAGGCAAGAATAATCACTGTAAAGATACAGAATAATTTGATGAAAAAAGAGCAATTTCTATTTAACATCATCAGCAATGGCCTATTTCTTCCTCTTACATCTGTAAGATTTTACTTTAAAAATTAGCTAAGAAAAGGACCAACAAAACAAAACACAGAAAGGAAGGGCTCTCACAGTAACGTAAAAATGTGAAACAAAGACTGAAGAGTTTGACAAATGCTAACGTACCCCACTCTACCAACTGCATTTTATAAATGTCAACAAAGCAGAAAGGAGGAATTGCAGAGAACTGTGAGGATTGTAACAATGCTATTATTATCAATCCTGCACTTCCACCATTATCTTGATAACCTAAAGATTTAAATTGTGGCTGAAGATATTAATGAAAGAAATGAAAGAAATTTAAATACTGCTGTTAGTGGCCATGTGTGAAAATAATTAAGATAAGCTCATCTGCCTACCCGAGAGGACATCTGTAAAAGTATATGTGAATAGAATGCGATTTAAAATTACATACTACAATTAAAACATTTGAGCCACACTGGCTTAATTTTAAATTTACTTTTAAATACTTGAAAGTTCATTAAATTAAAAAAAATAATCAGAATGTGTGAAGATAGTAGTTTCAGTCACTGGAACAGGACAGGTTAGAATACTGATGTTTAAGCTCATTTGCCTACCTGAGAGGACATCTGTAAAAGTATATGTGAATAAAATGCGATTTAAAATTACATACTACAAACATTTGAGCCACACTGGCTTAATTTTAAATTTACTTTTAAATACTTGAAAGTTCATTAAATTAAAAAAAATAATCAGAACGTGTGAAGATAGTAGTTTCAGTCACTGGAACAGGACAGGTTAGAATACTGATGTTTTCATACCTGGCTGGCCCTCTCCAGTGGGGCCACGTCTGCTTACACAACATTTTGTACCTTTCCAGACAAGGCTCGTACGCCTGCCTGAATGCATAACCTGCCCTTCTGACCCGGACATTCTCCAGAAGACCGAGGTAGCGGATCTGGTGGCACACCAGGGCATCATTGAAAATGTGTGCAGCCTTTTTGTCATTGGGTTTGATGCACCTGGAAAGGGAAACCAACAGGAACACTTGTTTGCAGCACTGTACATGCCAACGACTATTACTGCAAGTTTAAACGACAGATCTCAATAGTTCACCCTCAGATATCAAGGGTATTTTTATTATTTTTTTTAACTTCGCCACACATAAATTCACCAAAGCTTTGCCATAGGGTAACTTACCTGATGTAGTTCGGATTTTTTGTCTGAAGATTTTTCATCAGGGTAGCAACTGAAGCCTTGAACTGTGAACCTGCCGTTGGCGGTCTCTTTAGATTGATCTTAGCGGGGTTACCTTCTGGGAACAACGCTTTGATAAGAGAGTGACTGGCCTTCCACATGGCCTGGGAGAGGTCACGGTACAGAAGATCATTGTTTTTGTCAACAAATCCTTCCACCTGGTACATAACCTGAACAATACAGAGTAATCTCATCAGAGCATGTTTTGAACTGTAACAGGCCAGTTGAAAATTGAACCAAGAAACTGATTTCTCCTCCTATTACCCAAAACAAACGGAAGACATTTCAGCTTTGATTTTAAATTTGACATTTGGAAGACTTTGTTGGATAAAATTTCTGTGAACACACTTCCTGAGAAAGACGCATTTTCTCACATTCCTAACAGTTCTTTGTGCTCATCAACTCTGGTTTCTGAGATGGAAAAAGCCCTCCTTCTGTGATAGCTTCTGTGATACACTATTACTTGCCAATACCACAAAAGAATATTTTTTTGGCTGACAAAAGGTTTTATTCCTCTCTTTTGAATCACAACTGCAAAAATACCTTTTCCCTTCAAAGTACTAATGGTTACATTACTGGCCTAACTAAGGCAAGATATGAAGTATCACCTCTTGACATCGCAGCAGCAAGCAGCTATCTACGCAGTACTCAGAAGACTGTTGTTTTAAAAAACTTTTACCAGGAAAACAGTCCAACAACAAGAAGCATGGATGCAAAACTCTGACCTGCAGCTGCAGACCCAGGAGGCATCCAGGGGAACTGCATTTAGATCTCAAAATGCTACTGGCTTTTTAATTTTTGAGGGTAGGGAATTTAGTTTGATTAACTGTGACAAGTCATCTGGCTGGTAATACAGATTCTTCAGCTTCATGATTTCACAGTTCCATGTAGCTACGTACTATGTACACAGAATACTGACTAAAACTAATAGTGACACAGCCATATTTTACACAACAGCAAGTGACCGTGAACTTAGGTGACATTTTTTTTTGGAGTATATTTTTCTGTTTCTGACAGGTGTGGTAAATGCTACTACTGAAAAAACTGTTCATATGAACTTTGCTTATATTTCATAAAAGGAGAATCAAATATCTGTTGTCCAGTGACTAGATCAAAATGTTCTCAGCTGAGGATGTAAAAACAACATTCCTCCCAAAACAGGAGGAATTCACTGACTGCTCTGCTGGGGAAGTGAATGCCAATAACAATTGAAGACCCTCGCTGGCTGCTAAGACACAATCGGTTTGCAGTCCTTTTCAAAGCACAGTTATCAATTCACTTTGAATTTTGACAACCAAAGAAGTATCTAAGTATTAATCCCTGACAGATTATATGCAATTACAAAATCTTCTCAGCAAAGACATAACATAAAGTTAACAAATGGCTGCCTCAAAGGCTGTAAGGATTATCTTTTCAGCACTATTCCGAATTAGCAAATTATAGAGGATTCAAAGATTGAGAAAATGATAAAAACTAGGGAAGTATTAAACAGTCCTATGAAAATTAAACACTTTCCAAATATTTACTCTGTGAAATTAACAGTTAAGCAGATTCAAAGAAGAGGTATAGTTTCAACCTTTATGTTTACTTTTAACTTTTTTTTTAAATAGTCTTTTTACAAACTTAATTATTTTTATTTTCATTAGTAAAATGTCATTCTGAATTGTACATCAAAACCTATCGGACATTTATTCATACTGCTTATGTTGTAAAAAGCAAACATATTTGCAAGCCCTCTGTGTAGCTTTCTCTTCTATCTGTTTAAACACACAGGCTGTCAAAAGAAACTCAGTTCCTTCAAATGTACAAAAACTCCACTTTCTCATCAACATGACTAAGGACTTCAGCTAGTTCAGTGACAAAGAACATGTTTTTCAAAATATCTTGTCTTCAGATGCATGTGAATTTTTGTCATTCTAAACAATGTTTTCTTTCCAAAGACTTAGCAGCACAAGCAGTTCAACACCAAAGCACGTGGGACATCATTCTCCTTTGCTGAAAGAACTGCCCTTGAATTCAGCTAGAGCAGCATGAAGCACGTGGGACATCCTTCTCCTTTGCTGAAAGGAGAACTGCCCTTGAATTCAGCTAGAGCAGCATGATCACTGAAAACCTTTCAGCTCAAATCTCAAATCTTAGAGTTAAACTAGAACGATTAAGACAGGTCTGGATTTTTTTGATCAACTCAAGCAATTCTCCTCCATTAATATAACATCATTTAATAAAGAGCCTCCCCATTGTACCAAACCTAGACTTCACACAGGTACAACACCCTACACACATCATGTAGTCCCCTGCTTCACCATGTACCTTGCCAGCATAATGCTGAATCCTGAAGCAGCTGTGAGGCAAGGAGGTGTCGTTGAGGAATCGGGAGCATTTGCTCATCCTGCTCTCAAAATGCTGGTGAGTGGCACAGATTTGGTTCAATTTTTCTAAAAACGTGTCGTCAGTGACAGTTCCTGGTCTCAGGCATTCTTCATCTAGCATGGCCAGGATTCCAGTTTGGTTCTGGAATTTCAAGACAAGAGTTTAGTCTCCATTTCCATCACATTTCCATCGATGCATAAAAAGGAGATGGTGCTCTCCTGTTTTGACTCCTGCTACCCAGAAAAATGTTCTCAAAGTCCGGCCAGTTCTCTTTTCCTCATCCCCACTTCCAACAGACTTTTAGTATCTGTGTTTTTGAAAGACTGCTTCTGAGATCTGAATCTTCCAACTTCTTTGGACTTGGGAATGTCATATTCTGTACTCAGACTGTAGAAACTCCAGCTTGACCAAAAATGCCCAGTTTATGGGTAAAACCAGCATACATTTCTAACTTACGGTTAAAAACTGTTATTTTCTTATTTTTAAGGAGTTATCTTTCTTGCCAAACTAAGTCCCTAGGAGGTCCTCTTATTAAATACAAGTACTTGCTGTAGCTAAAGCACTCAGTAACAAGTCATTGAGTTTTCTAGTTTCATATAAAAAGAAATGTTATTTACAACACAGCATGTGATATCTGCTACTGAACACAGCACTAAATGTAAACATTACAGAGTTGGGGCTTTTTTTGTTTAGATGCTGCTGAACATTTCTAACAAATACAGTCATATGAAAAAAATTAGTAACAAAAATTTTTAACATACAAAATAACATGACTAATGCTGCAAGTGGCTTCTTTTATAAAATCAAATGTGTGAGGATGCATACAGATTTTAGAGCTAAATTCAACCTGTGCATTAAAAAAAATATTCAGAGAGATTCTTGAAAAAAACTTACATTTTCTATTAGGTCACAAATGATAGCATTGTTGAAATACTCAATGTGAGTCCATTCAATCCCCTATAAGAAAAAAGTCATAATGTATGAAGAAGAAAACAATCAAGGGAACTTTTCCCCTAGGCAACTTGAGTTCTATTCCAGTTAACTAAGATACTGCTTTTGAATTTAATTCTATATGCTTACCAACATTTTATCTATTAAGAAAGAAATACAGTCATCTACTACTAACATTATCTGCGCAAAACGACTGTCCCTGACCAGCTGCCAAACCCGCTCTCCATTCCTTTCCCCCACCCGTGTCAGCTTCCCATGCACTCCCTGGCGCCCTGCCACTGCCCACCCCAGCACCGCTCTGCCCACGCTCCCACTGGCCGTGAGGAAATAAACCCATTTCACTGCAAGCATTTGAGATAAAAATTTCTAAGCTCCTAGTTGTTGTTGTTTAGTTTTTGTTAGGTTTTGTTTGTTTGTTTGTTTGTTTTTAACAGGAGGAAGAAAGGGAGCTAAACTTAGATGAGACTATCTGAAAAATTCAGAGTCTGGCTGTTGTTCAGATATTCCTAATATCCTTATTTTTTTTCAAATACCAGTGATAAAACTTCCAGGATGAGATGCCAGTGCATCAGGAGGTAACACTGGTAGGGCAAAGGACTGGGAAAATAAAATATTAACTTCATTCTTAATTTAGATTCTGTGGTACATCATACAGGTCTGTTTTTTCAGAGTGTTTGAAATATTGTTGAAAAAACAAATTGCAGTAATGATGTTTCAAGAGTTTTACCACTGAATGCAAAAAGAAAAAAAGACATGCCAAAACTTCATATTTTCCTCAAGATTATACAGCAGGAACTTTATTGAATTTTTAAAAATGTTTTACCCAGCAAAATGGTATTATCTAATTTGAGTATGGACAGCATATGTCCATTTCTACAACTATGAGCTGGTATTTTGTCTGAGCTCTGTGTATCATGGGGAGTACTGCTAAAACCTATTAAAACTTTAACTTGACATTCACTTACAGAATACCATCAAACACCAGAGTTTGAGCTCCAAAGCACATATTAAATTTACCATCACACAGCTCCCTTCAATACCTAACTGAAAGAAAACTAGAACCAAAATCTATTTGGAGTTTCTTTCATCTTGCATGCTCAGTTTCACCCACCCAATCCCCTTTTGAAACAGGATTAGCTGTGGCCACTGTTGGAGTGTATCTCAGATGCTACAGCATAATCCAAAACACAGGCTGTAGTGTAAGGCCACCAATACCAGAAAGCAATATTAGTCTTCTAATAATTTGCCTTTGCTCAGAACTGCCAGTCATTGTCACCAGTGAATGAGAGTTGGGTCTGGTTTATACCTGGAGAACTCCTAATACAAAACCAAACCAAACACAACTCTTTTTGCTTAATGTAACTACCATGCAGTCCTACACAAACATGTTCCATGTCAGGCCTGTGGTCGAAAAGCAACTCTGTTCCCTGAAAAGAGGTTCAAACATGCATGCCTGAGTATCTTCATTACAGGTACAAGAGGAAGAAGAGACAACAGGGAAAGTTCCATTAAGTATTACCTCTCGGATGTATTCCTCCTGCTCTTCTTTGAGGGTAAGTTCAATGAAGATCTGCTGCAACTTCTCATTACAGTAGTTGATAATGAATTGCTCAAAGCTGTTGTCCTGTCAGATAAAACATGTTTGCATTTGTTGTTGTGTAAACACCCTGGAACAGGCTGCCCAGAGAGGTTGTGGAGTCTCCTTCTCTGGAGACATTCAAAACCCGCCTGGACGCCTTCCTGTGCAACCTCATCTAGGTGTTCCTGCTCCGGCAGGGGGATTGGACTGGATGAGCTTTTGAGGTCCCTTCTAATCCCTAACGTTCTGTGATTCTGTGATTCTGTGAACTCAGCTGGAGCAAGCTACTGCAGCAGCTGCAAATCAACAAGCTACTTTATTAACTACTCCTTCCAGCTTTGCGATGTGATGGTTTGAGTAATATTTTATTAAGAATGAGATTAGTTTGGAAATATTAGACCAAATCCTTCCCTGATGTTTTCTCCACTGGGAGGGACAAAAAACTCTGTAGGTTTATATTTGTGATGCCTCTGTATTGATTCCTTGGGACAAGTCGTAAGGAGGCCTGTGGTCAGGGAATAAACAACAAAAGTTGTGCCTGCACTAACCTGTCCTCATGTGCAAAACGTAGCCTCCTGCAGATTCTGATAAATAAAATTATGATAGTAGCATTAGGTCATTTCCAACCAGGATCACTCAGTAGCAAATAAAGTATCCCATTTCACTACCAACTGAGGCCCAAGCTGCTATTCTGGTTGCAGCTGAGCCCTGGGTTTAAGAGATTATTGTCTCCAGAGGTCAATCCAACTCCTCCCTGCCAACAAACTGCTCATGTAATTGCCCCATGAAATGTTGGGAATTAAAAGAACTTTATCAACCAAAAATCCTTTAAAAGGCTGATTCACATAAAACTGGGTTAGGGTGCAAGCGTGTGCGTGACACTTTGCAGAAGGGCCCAGAGACCAGTGCAGACTCTGGAAGGATGGTGGGCAGCGGGAAGAGGCTGCTCAGTGGCTGCAGCCACCGCCGCAGGGGCTGCAGCCACGGCAGCTATCTCCATCCATCACAGCTGCACGGCAGGCCTGCAGCAGGAGCAGGGCTGGGGCATTACAGCAGCACGCTTCCAGAGGGACACTCGTCAGCATCAGAAACGGTGGCTGCAGCAAGCCCCCACATACCCCAGGTAGTTTTTACTGCTAACATCACCAGGGCCAGGACTGCAGCATAAAAGCTGTGGTTCACCACTTCATCTCTGTTACCTTAAATGAGTGCAGTTTGGAGGCCAGGTACCCATTCTGAGCACCAGTTTAAAATGTCCCTTTCAAAGAAAAAGGGAACAGCAGCTTCAATGTTTTTTTTTCAGTGCTTGGAAGAGTCATTAAAATTGTAAGAATTCCCTACAGGTATCTGCAGAAATAACTGCAATCAAAAGTAATTTTGGATATCTACTGCTGGTCTTCAGTTCTCGGCTTTGGGCTTCCCTCTCCCCCCTCCTCCCTTTCTTTTTTATTACTAGTCATCAAGAACACTTCGGTTATTTAGGAAGCCTGAAAATTTGCAGAATAAATCACTATGCCTTTTTACACTAGCAAACAAATCTGTTATACAATACCTGTAAAGCTCAAGTTATGGTGACAGAATTTTTTAACGGCAACTGCAATTATTTAAACGTTTAAATTAAGGATCTAGGTGCTCAAACGAGATTAAAAACACACAAGCAGATTATAAAATATCAACACAGCACAGATTACTTTTATCATTTTAGCTTTAGGTAAAGCAAAATCATAGATGATCACCAAACTTTCTCAGCCACATCAAACTCTGCCCCTCACACCAATTGCAGTTATTAATCAGAGATTGCAAAACTTGCATAGCGCTAGATGGGAAAGTTAAAATTTGGCATGCATCAAAATCAGCACTGCAAACAAGTCATACTTACTGCATTCTGTTGCAAAAAGAAATTACATAAATTGCAGTCAGTACTTATACTACTTCCATAACTACACAGAATATAAAACATCTATTAGCATCTATTTGGTGTACCAAGTAGATCAGTCCTTTTATCAGACTCATATTTGTATGTCACTGAAAATATGAAGTACTGCATAAATGTTACATATTACTTTTTTGTAGAAGAGTGTATCTTTAGGGACTATCCAAAGATTATCAAATAAACCAAGAAATTGAGGCACATGAGAGTTTAACACAGAACAGCACTCTTGCATTGTCACGCCTCTAAATCTCCGTACATATTTAGTCTCAAAAAGCCATATATATAGATATGTATATATATGTATGTATGTATGTATGTATGTATCCATCTATCCTTCAGTAGACAAATCTCAAGAGTGGAGAATAGTGGGAGGGAAGAGAGAGTACTGGAGGAAGAATGAGTAAAAGTTTATTTGACACATTCAGATAAGGCCATCACTTTAGATATAGTGAGTTTGAAGTAAAAGGACCCCAACTGACACATCACATTGGCTGAGAGGAAAGGTAAAACACACCCTCCATCCTCCTGCCAGGCACACGCCACCCAACACAGAAAGACCTTTTCTCCAAAAGACCATGTTAGTCTGATTACAAGGACTGCAGGAATTTTTGCTCTCTTTCTTCGTAAGAGGATGGAAACTGGACTGCAAATCCAGCTAAACCGGCTAACTAAAATGTCATTAACAATATATTAAAGTAATTGCTAGATGCTTTCCTGATTTGCTACGTATCTGTGATATTTATGGCTTGCCAAAGAAAACCAAACCAAATATCCACAGAGTTCTTCACAAATCACTCACTTTAAGCTACGAAATTCTATTTGACATTGCCAAGCCACTGAAAATTGCTATTCTGGGAAAAAAGTCATTGAAGAGCAGTAGTGATTTTGGTCTTTATGTACAATACAGAGCAAAAGGCTAACAGTTAGTTACAGCAAAGAAAATGTGGACAAATGTTTGGAATTACTGAAATTCTCAAAACACTTAACTCTGAACAGGCCAGTAAGCATTTGGTAAATAAAGTACACTTCAGAAAGAGACACTTCCTACAGGTTTTAAGAAACACTGTATGAAAAAATTATTAGAGTGCTTATGTCTGGACACATCTGAGTAAGGCAAAAGAGATTCTCTGAATTTATTCTCCCTTATTGTGTACCTATAATTTTTTATTATGCAAGGGCTTCACAAATCATAGGTGAATGCTTATAAATGAATTGAATTGAACTGAAATATGTTAATGAAGGCACCTAGAAATGAATACAGTAGAGCTACAAGGGATTTAAAGGACTTCTGACATTGTTTTTTAGAAGACAATAAAGAATGGTTAATTACAGTGACAGCACATCACTAATTCGGGAGAAACAGGCTGAAAGGATCCAGCCCTCAAGAGACTGTACTTGCTCCTTTATGCTGGCATTAGGTGCCAGAAAGAGTTTTGACAAACACAGAAGTAGCACGATCACAACCAAAATTTCAGGAAGAGCTAGTAATTTCAAATATTCCTAGGAAATTAAGCCCAGCACTTCTCAAATGCTGAAGTCTGTCAGCTTCTATTCCAGGCTGTAATTCTGCTGCTTTAATGTCGAGAGCATCACTTCAATCCCTGCATTTTTATAGCAGTATTTCAAACTGTCCCTTTGAGACCATCGTAGAATAAAAAAATGTAACCTTTGGGGAAGAGAAAACCCACTCAGTCTCTCAAATTATATTAAAGGTGCTGAGAAACAGAATGTCACCTGAGATAGGCTTAAAGACACATTGAATTTATAGATACAGATAAACCTACCACCACTGTCAGCTTATCCTCTCAATCTTTTATCAGGTGCCACAACAAATTTAGACATGTAGAAAAATTCACTGACAAAACATCAAAGGCTACTTCATTGTGCTTTTCACTTCACAAATAACAGTGTCTTGCTTATACAGCTTTACTCTTTCTCAGCCTTCAAATCACTGGGCATCAGGGTGGCTTTTCATAAACAGCAAGTTTTTGAACTCTAAAAAAATTCTGCTTCATATAAAAAGATAATGCTTTTATAAATAAGCAGATCATGATGTTGCACTCAGGTTGTTAAGAGTCAACCATGAAAATATAAAAGTTCTAGTTTTGAACCACTGCTGTTCCCTGAATCACACACAGGTGCTAGAAAGTCTAAAAAAGACACTTTTTGATCTTTAATATTATACCTAATTTCTTCTTTGGAAGATTCCAGTCATGCATATAATGGAATAATCTCAAAAAACACATATGGATGTTCCAGACCTTATACATTGGTATACCAATAAAATACCAATAGCAATCGGAGTGTGGGCAAGAAAAGCTAAAAAGTCTCTTACTGGTCTCAGACAGAAATGGGTCCATATGCTGATGCCGAGTGTCATTTCTTGCATTAGATTTACAAACACAAAATATCTAAACCAGGGCATTTTTCTATGAAAAGCAGCTACTTTCTAACCTTCTCTCCCCATAGAGAATTCAAATTCACTTTTGAGTACCTAGATTCCAGTGACTTCCAGAGACACTGAGGCAACTAATATATCTACTTAAAACTGGGTACTTTTCCATACTAGTAAGTAGGAATAAATTCTTGTCTTCCACCTGCCTAATAAAGTCCCAGTTTAAGTGTTTCATTTTCTCCACTTCACTGTTTTCCCCAAATTAAGCATAAGCTGATGATTCAAACCTACAGAATCAGCTATACCATCAGTATGACACCTATACAAGGTGTTTCTCAATATTTGCTCTTCCTTCTTAATTTTTTATCACACGAGTTCTTGTTGTGAGCCGGTTTATATATTGCTCAGTCTACAACCACACTGACAAAAAGGTGTTCAGCAACACCTTTTCAAATATCTTACATGAGCACATACAACTAAAAAGTACATCAGAAGTATTTAAATAAACAGCGTAATTTAAAACAAAACCTAAACATTTCAAATCATGAGACTGACTGTTGAAATCAACAGAACTAATGCCACTAAAATAAACTTTTTGATCAGCAAGGAGGTTGGGGGGAGGAGACATACAGAGACTAATGCTTTTGCTCTAACACATATAGCCCCAGAAAGTAACTTTTTTTCCCAACATCAACACAGTTCCAGGCATCAGAAATC